AAGTTGTAGAAAATCAAAAATTAGGCTTAAAGCCAAATTTCCAAAAAGATACACTTAATAGTTTCGCTTAAAATGCAAGTTTTGTGAAAATTCGTAAATTTGGCATTTCTTGAAAACCAGTTTTTGAATCGTTCTGAAAATTTGGATATAAGCTTGATTTTTGTTTCTCTACAACTTTTCCATTGACACCAAAATGGGTTTCTTTTGAAGAAAGTGCTCAAACTGTCACTTATGACAATAGCCCGCAGTTTTCAATTCACCAACCCAATAAAATAACAGCTTTACAGTTTACCCGCATCACCATTTCATTAGGAGGAATGGGTATTTGACATGATGAGCATTCACTTGAAAATCGATCGATTTATTCTGCTTGAGATTCTTGTAGATTTATTGTTCAATGATAAATTTGCATTTTTATCGTTTTTGATTTCCTTGACTTTATTTTTTCTAATAATAACTTACTAAACCCTTTTCAAAATCAACTTTGTTATTTACAATCGATTTCTCTATCATTCATTTTTAATGCCACAAAATGGGCTCCATAATGGCTGAGGGGTTTCTTCGAGGCCATCTTCAAACGACGAGAAAACAATGTGTCCTTCACCTCACCCATTTCCCATCATCCTTCAGAAAAACCACCTTTTTGTTGACTAGTTTAAATCTAAAAACTAAACTAGAACTTAAAAACTAGTAACTCTTTAAGCTAAAGGTTAAAATTTGGCAATTTGACAATCTTTCTTTACTCCTATAGCCTCTTCGTTTCATGGAATTTAAAAAAAAAGTAACTCAGATCTTTCAAAACCCCACAACTTCCTCCATTCCCATATTCATTTATGATTAATTAACTCATCAAAAATTTCATTTCCTTAATAATTCAGCGCCTAAATTTCCATGCTAATTTCTAGTTTTTTCAATTTTTTTCTTTCAAATGTTTAAGTGTTATTTTGATCATTTTTGATGAAAAGATTTCCCTCTCAACAATCATTTTTCATTGTTTTTGTTGAACAAAAGTTTTTGTCAATGTTATGGATAGGCTTTAGAGTCAAAAATTGCTCTTTTTTTCGAGAGGACTTTGGGGATTCCATTAAGATCCACTTAAACTTTTGATCTCTCAATCAATCTTCGAGTATCTGATCAACAAAAACTTTGATTATCGGCTCTTCATCTTGTTTTGAAACCAATTGTGCAAAATTGATTGAATTTTGAGTTGTTTTGTTGATTCAAAACCTTCATAAGTTCTATATTTCTGGAATTTTGGTCACAATTTATAATTTTACCTATAGAGAAGATCTCTCTCTATAGATCTCTATAGATCTCTTTTCCTCCCTTCTCATCTCCTTATCTTCTTTGTTTTTTAAATAAAAAAAGATTTGACAAAGAAAATGGAGACAATGGAACCCTCGACTACAGGCTTACTGGATAAACGCACAACCACTGAGCTAAGGCTGCTTGTAGTCCCGTGAGAAAAAGAAGGTAGAAGAAAGGGGAAAGAAGATAAATCAAAATTTTAGACTACCATCATTTTCAATGATTTCATGATTGTTCAAGTGATCAAGAGTCTCCTTTCCATTCTTTTCTTTCTTCCAAGAGTGGAGTGCACATGTCGACTCTTGGAATCGTTTGTTGAGTGATGTGTCGCCAGTTGTCTTCTTTCTCATTCACATTTCTTTTGTTCATCTATCCTCACTTATTTCTTTTTTGCTTCATTTTCAAAAGCCATACGTGAGTGTGTAATCTAAATTGAATTTAGAGCCCGCTCGAGTTATAAATGGCTATCGATTCCTTTTGTTGACTAGATTAGTTTTACTTAACTTTGAATATTCTTTGCCAAATTTTTTCACCAATTTTCTGATATCAATTCAAAAATTAATCGTTTCCTTTATTTTATGGCTTTTTTGATCGTTCAACCTTGAGCACTTGTGGACAAAAACTTTGCAAAAACGGGGATCGTTTCTGAATTTACGATTTGATTGGCGGATAGTTGTTGTGAGACAGAAAAGAAAGGGAAAATAGGTGAGAACGAGTTTTGAATACAACTTGAGTACAGATCTAGCATTGAAATTTCGTTTAAACACTAACATGTAAGCTATGTAAGCTATGTATGTAAGCTAACACTCTATTTAAAGCTTATACAGTCACATTTCAATATAGCGAACGTCAAGGAAGCGTTCAAAAAAGTTCGTTATATCGAAGGGTTCGTTGTATCGAATTTCCACTGTATCATAATTAGCTTAACCAAGCCTGAGCTTTATTTTAGAATGCAAAATCGAAAAGAATTAATCTGCTCGCTGATTCTCGTGCAATCTTCCAATCAAAACACCTTGATTAGTCGATAATTGAATGCCTAAAGGCAAAATCAAAAAGATTGGGAAATTTTTGTCTTTCATCTTTCTATCTCTCTTTCTTTGTCTTTCATCTTTCTATCTCCAATAGCCAATTATGCCTAAAATTGAAAAACAATAAAGAACTGACAATTTTATCCGCGAGATATTTTTAGCAAATAATTTTTCCTTGAGAAATTCCCCATTTTCACATTTTCCCATTTTTCCTTGATCCTTTCAATGCATTCAAAGCTTTCAATTTCTGTTTTATCCATTATTATTTCTTTCTAGAAATGGTAACTTGTTATTGATTGCCATTTTCCTATATATCTAATTGCTTTGTTATGGATTCATTGGCTCTACCAGCCAAATGAGGGAAAGGCACCGGGTCAAGGTGGTCTTTCAAAATGAAACCCAGTGTACCTGATAGAACTTTTTACGCTGATTCCGAATCCGGTTTTAGTTTTTCCTGTAACGTGAGATATTTAGCATACAAAAATTGTGATCCCGATTCGCCTATGTTTAAAAGCTTTCTTTATCATTCCCCAAACATGAGCTTGTCGCGCAGTGGACAGTGTGTTAGCCTAAGATTTTTTTACTTTAACGAAAGCAGACATTATTAAAATTTTGAACAATTAGAAGATAAATATTTGGTTCAAAATCGTTTAATTTTCTTCTTCCGCATAAAGCAAAAAAAATTGTCAGCATTGGGATTTAAACCCAAAGTAAAAACTCGTAGGCTATCCACTGCGCGACAAGCTCACGTTTGGGGAATGATAAAGAAAGCTTTTAAAAATAAGTGAACCGGGATCAATTTTTGCATGCCAAATATCTCACGTTACAGGAAAAACTAAAAACGGATTCGGAATTAGCGTAAAACTGTACTTTTTACGTTTTTAGTTCTATTTAGTTTGTTAGTTTTACACTGGGTTTCATTTTGAAAGATCACCTTAACCCGGTGCCTTTCCCTCGTAAGGGTAAAATTTAGTTATCAGGCATTTAAATAGACTTGCAAACCTTTATATCATGGTAGGTTATGCAAATTTTTCTGGTTTTATTTTGAGTAAAAGATGTTCTCTTCTTTCTGCACTTGATTCTGTTCCTCGAAAAATTCTCGATTGAATGGAGCGGCCGAACATTGATAAGCGAATAATCCTGCCTTCGGCCTTTTTTCTCTCTCTTTTCACCCCAAACGATCACCCAAAGAAATGGCTTTTCTCATCACAAAATGAATCATTAATACATCTTTTCTAACCATTTTTTTTCTTCCTTTTTGCTCTTTGCCTAAAAACGATAAATCACACCGAATTCATTTGAAAGCTTTTTGCCGGAAAACAGCGCGATTTTTTGCGCCTAATCTCTTCAAAAACGCACAAATTTATGGGAATCCTTATTTTAGCTGATTTAATGTCATAATTCTTTGGTGGAGAACTTGATAACTTGGTTTTAAGTCTTAGAAATCTGTCTCATGTTTCAAAATTCCCGATTTGATTATTTGATTCATTTTCAGACCAATTTTAGGATTAAAATGAAAGAACTCAAAATTTCTTTTGTGTCTAAATATCTTTGAAAACCCCGCTTTTCTTTTACTCTTTTGAATGAATGGAAAGGAAAAAAAGACTGGGTTTTTTTCGTGATTATAAATGAGGACCCTCTCGTTGTGTTAGACAAAAGAGCAGAAAACAATGGACTCACTTATGAACATCAATGAAATCACTTTCTTTAAAAAAAACTTTTATACTTTTTTAAAGACTATTTGATTGTTTTTTTGTTTAAATTTTTAAATCTGACTACTCATTATCAGTTTTATTCAGCTTTGAAGTACTTAAAATGCTTTTAAAATGGTTTTAAAATAGTTTTAAAATGCTTTAAAATCAAACCTTTGTAAAGCAAGCATTGAAAATCATTTTCTCCTCCGCAATTTTGTAAAAAAGTTCTCGAACAACTTGAGACGACCAAGAGGATTTCATAAGTAAAAGAAGAGAAGTGAAACTCAAGAGAAGTGAAACTTCTTCCTCAAATTTCACTTTTGGCATTTTGAAACTACTTGAGAGAAAGAAAAAAGTTGACAAGAATTGAAGCGGAAAAAGGAAACACTCCTGTTCATGCATATTTCGGAAATCGAGACGCTCAAACGACTCTTTTCTTTTGAGAAACTTTTTAGCTGAACTTGAGAGTTACCCATTCTCGTTTTCCTCAAATATTCTCACACCATTCTTTGTGAATTTTTCCAAGACTTTTTTTGTACTTTGCTTTGGCAAAATTTTAAAGCAATTACTAGCTCGTTTTGGAGTTTTTGAGTACAACGATTGCAACTTTTCATAAATCTTGAGCTTCTTGCAAAGATTTGTATGACTAATAATAGATAATCCCTTTAATTCAATCTTGATCATCTCTTGAAATCTTTCCCAAATGATTCCTGAAATCTTTCGAAAATCTTTTGACTCTCGATCGAATTTCCGCTCTCTTTTCTTGTCAAGAATTGCATATCTTGTCTTTTACCCGCCACTAAAAAGAAGGATTCTTTCTTAAAGAACTATTGAGCTTAAAATCATCTCAACTTTCTTTAACTCCTTTCTCAAAACAGATAAAGTTATAGAACTTTTCAGATCCAGATTCGAATGATAGGGAGATGAGAAAACGAAGAGAATGCTGATTTTGTTATTTTCCTTTTTCAGCATGGCGACATGCAGTGTCAATTTGTTTATTTCAAAAGAGGAAACCAGTCGGACACTTGGTGAGGAAAAGTTCTTCAAGAAAGCTTTGAATCATAAACATAATTTTCAGGGATGACCGCTGAGCTTTCCTATCTTGAAGATGGCGTTATCAATCAGTATTCAACAAGATTCCCATATCGAGTTGATCAAAATGTCACCCAGCTGAAATTCTCCTGGAATTCCCTTCTCTCGGTTTGTTAAACAATTTTGTTAACTTAACTTTAATATTTAGGCAAATTATTCGATGAGAGTGCAGTCAGAAGACTTTGCTTTGCTCGCATTGTTACGGGTGCCAAGTGTTGGGCAAGTGCCTCGCCAAACTGAAGGTAAAATGAAATGAATTTAAAGATCACAAGCTTATTTCCAGAGTTTGCTGTCGAGTATCGGTGTGCGGGTATGAAAGCGGGACAATTCGAAGTGTCTCTCTACATCGATTTCGCTCTCGACAACGGGAAGAACATTCGCCTTCATCTGAAACAGGAAAAGATTTGTGCGACTCGAGATGGACGCAGATTTATCATTGGTAAGTTGAAGAATTGGATTTGATTAAACTACAATCATTAGGAGTATTTATATTTCCTAATCTTTGTCAAGCTCTCGCGTTATATCGCATTTTTCTCTCCGGTAAGCAAGGGCGGTAATGGCTCAGTGGCAGCGCGTTTGCATGGCAATCAAAGAGGGGCTGAGGGTCCGGGGGTTCGATTCTCCTAGACCCCTTCTTTGCCAGATCGTTTTTAATCTGAAAACGAAAAAGGAAAGGAGGCAAGAGAACGAGGAGGAGGCGAGTGAAGAGGAGGGAAAACGGGAGGAGAGAGGATCTTCTCCATAGATAAATTTTGCAAGCTGAACTGGTATCAATTGTTTCAAGTAAAGAACATTGATTAAGCTAAAGAAAAGGGAATACTCAATTCTAGATGACTCGGACACTAACCGCACCGACGAGGAAAATGGCAACACAGAGCTTTCTCTTCTACGCCATCGTTGGATGTTCAGCTGCTTTTCTCCTCCTAATGGCCATCCTCCTACTTTTCTATTTTCGATCAAAAAAGAAGGAAAACACTGGTGAAGGCTCAACTCCAAGCAGATCAAGATTACCGTTAGTTGGCACAAGTTAAATCTATTCTAAAAGTCTCAGGTTCAGAGAATCATTCAAATCCTTCCGCAACCATACTCCATCACAACAACCATTTTTGACCTCAACTCCTAACAAATCTTGTAAGTTAGCAAAAGAGATTCAAAACTTTTCCTTTCAAGGGAGCACACTGTCGACAAAGTTGAGGCCATCGACATCAGCATCAAAGCCTGGTTCCTCAGCTGGTGGTGTTAAAAAGACTCTTCCAGCAGTTGATGTTAAATCAGCTCTTATTTCTCTACATGCTGATCGAAATCTTTTCACAATTTTAGCTTTTGACGAGCTACAAGGTATTTAAAATTTTCAAAATTCTTACCTCCAACTTTTCAGGAACATTTGGTGAAGTGAAATGGGCAATTTGGCGGCAAACAGCTAGTGGTTTTGCTGGAGACGTCGACGAGGATGAGGTAAGATTGCAGACAGCAAAATACCTGTTTAGCTGAATTGTCGAAAAATTCGAAATTTTCAGGATGATGGCACCGGTGACGAGGCGATGTTAGTGAAAACGCTGAAGCCGAGCGCAAATCAACAACAACTCGAGCGGTTTCTTTCTGATGCTCTCGTTTTTCATCATGTTCCAGCTCATACCAACATTGCTAAGGTATCAAAAGAATGGAATCAATGTAAAATTTGACTCAGGTTGCCGCAGCAGCCTCTTATGGACGATTCGATCGTCCGGAGACGGTCACTGATCTGCCAATGATCTGCTATCGGCATCAGGGATTCGGGAACTTGAAAAAGTTTTTGCTTTCCTGTCGAACCGATGGAGCGTCAGTGAATCGAAAGGACAAATCACCAACGAGCGGTTGGTTTAAAGAAAAACCCCCAGTTAACCTAGTAAACCCAGTAAACTCTATCTTTTTTTTTCTAGGTATCGGTCAAACGCTGAGAACACACGAGTTGGTGTGGATGGGAGTGCAAATCGGTCGAGCGCTAAACCATTTGCACACTTTTGGAATCGTGCACAAAGATGTTGCCACCAGAAATTGCATTGTTGCCGAGGTAGGCCAGGAAAAACCACTCAAAAACCAAAAATTTCAGCTCAAAAACTCGCGCTCAGCCGATCGACTACATGTGCAATTGACTGATACAGCTTTGGCAAAAGTGAGAAATTGATTGAAAATTGATTTAAGATTATTTAGGATCTTTTCCCTGGCGACTACAATTGTTTGGGTGACAACGAGAATCGTCCAGTAGCTTGGATGGCTCCGGAAAGCTTTGAGTCAAACAATTTCACGGAAAGCACTGATGTGGTGAGAAAATACTTAGAAAGTCTCGAATTACTAATCTAAACTTAATTTCAGTGGTCTTATGGAGTCACTCTTTGGGAACTGCTCAATTGTGGCTCTCAACCATTTGTTGGAGTCGATCCAGAAGATATTCAAAGAGCAATTTTGCAAGGTGCTCGACCTGCTCAGCCACTCAATTGCCCCGATCAATTGTAAGTTCAAGAAATGAAGTTAACTCTGGAGGTGCAAGCAAATCCTTTTCTAGGTACGTCATCATGCGCAACTGTTGGACTAATGCCACCGATCGCCCTAAAGTCTCAGCAATCACACAAATGTTACAGGAATTCACCAATGAGCTCACACAATACGTTTAATATGTCTTGCATAATAAGTACCTCGACCTTTTTTTGTTTTGTAGAAATGAGTGTATTTTAATCGATACGGGTATTAGAGAAAATAGTCAATAAGTGTGTATTTGGCAATAAACTTTATAAAAACGATAGAATTCCGCTTACAATCTAATGAAGATACATATGTGCCATGTGAAAAAAAATAAGCACAAAAAAGAAACCGTCAATCAAATGAGTATCCATGGAAAGTTATTAGAATCAATAAGGCAAATGAATAATCGAAATAAAAGACTGACTACGGTTTACTTCCCAAAAGAAAACTTGATCGGAGCCCGTGTCTGTCCACCTTTGTTGAGAATCGTCTGTTGTTCGACCTTCCGTACGTCAGCTTGTTGTTTCTCGAGTCCTTTCCTTTCTCGCTCCAATTGACTTCTCTCTGCGAGCATCGCCAAACGTTCTTCAGTCTAAAAAGAAAAAGTTACTTCAATCTTGGAAATTAGAGAACAGAGTGGATTACTATAGATCACCAAAAATCTGATGTCGTGAGTAGTTTCCCCAATTTATATGACGTCAAACTTGTAGCTCTCAAATAGATAACCCACTCTAGTTTAGCTTTAGTTTAAATAAAATATACTATACGCCAGCAAACCTTTCGGATCAAATCATCGGCCTCGGCCCAACCGAACACGAGTATGTGGAGACCTTGGATGAAGCTACAAGATTAAAAAAAGATATATCCCCAAGAAGATAGGAATATACCCATTCCACTAATCTATCAAAAAGTGCCTAGTTTTTTTGGAAATAAAAATTTAAACGAACATATTCTTTCTCTTTCTGCTCGGCTCGTTGGATTTTCTCGGCGAGATCCTTCTCCATCTGTGCACACTTTGCACGATGCTCTTCCTAAAATTGAACAAATTAGTAATGTTTATGGCTTTAGTAAAAAAATCGGTAACGTTTAGACTTTAAAGAATTGGAAAAATATTGATTTATGATCGCTAAGCCAAGACAATGCTTTAAGTTCGTTTTTACGCACTTGTTAATACAGTCATTTAAAAATAAACTACATTGTACCAAGATTTTTAAGATTTTAAAATACGTACCCCTTCTTTGCGAATCCTTTCCATCTCATCTTTCATCTCCATTTCGATCTGGATTCGCAACATCTTCTCCAGCTCGCCTTTTTGCTTGATGAATCGCTCATTTAGCATGTGTTCAACCTCGGCGACTCGGGCCATTATCTAAAATATTATTATTAGATCCAAAACATCGGGGCTTTACATTAAACTCATTCAATTTTCGTTATAACTTAATAAAATAGACTTGAAGAAACGATTGAACGGCATACCAAGATCAAAAAGGGCCAATCTGGAAATAGTTAAGGGGGATTTTATAAGCTTTTTAAGAATAAAATACAATACCTGTTCTTCGACTCTCTCCTCGAGCCACGACTTCGCACTTTCGCTGATTGTTGTGACGTCGAAATTCGCCTCTTTTGCTTCTTTGCTCTCTTCATTTGATGATGACAGTTTAACGACGGGAGAAGCTGGCCTAAATAATAAAGAGTTCGATCCTGTTGTGCCAACGTTATTGCAACCAATTTCGTTTCAAAAAAGTTTCTAACATTCAATGCCAACTTCATAACATCCAAGTTCTTATTAATCTTACAAGTTTACACAAAACCACCCACTTTTGCTTCAAAATGCTTCCTAGACGAGCTTCATCGGGACTTTCCGACCTCTTCCTCGATTTCTTGCTCTTCCTGCTGGTTCGATCACGATCACGGCTTCGGCTTCGGTCTCGCGACTTATCCAGATTTCGTCGTCTTCTTGGGCTTCTTGAACGACTTCTCGCCATTTCCTGGAAAAATAAAATATTATAGCATTCAAAGATGAAATCACAAAAGCGAGCAAGGCTTTAAAAGAAAATAACAACTGTTTTCAAGTATTATATCAAAGTTAATGTGTTGTATCTATAGCAAAGCTAGCACAACTGTTCCTGTTTTCGATGTCACGCACAAGAGCCACAACGCAACCGAAATTGTCCAAATTACGGTAAGAAGCCTATTTAGACGCGTTTTAGCCGCCTGGCTATTGCAACGTAATCATTGCCTATTTTGGTTTTAACACCTTTCAAAACTTTTTCTAAAATCCCTTTTATTTATAAAGTCTGACAAATGTTTCAGATGATTTTGTTATGTCTATTATTGGCGGTTGTAACAGCTCAACAGGTACAAAATGGCATCGAAATGACTGCGGATGAGTGTAAAGAGGTTTGTGACATGACTACTTCTTCAAAATCAAGCAAAATACGTGTTACTTGTAGGAAAAAGTGGAAAACTTACTGACTTCAGAACAAAAATGTTTGAGTGAAAATAAAAATACAATTAATTTGCAATGTGCCAAAAAAACTATTCAGTTTAAAGATAATTTGCATACGTTACAGGTTTTTTGGCTTTCAAAAAGTTAACTTTCAGGGGGTGGGACAAATGCAACCTTTTTTTGCTGGAAAAGGCCTTAGGCAAGACCGTAGAGCTTCGAAAATATTTCCATGTAAGGGAATCGTATGCGTAGATTCCGAATTTCGACAAATCAGACCTCGCTGACACGTCAAATTTGGGCTAAAAGGCAAAAACTGCGGAAAAGCGTTAAGCTTGCGTAGTTTTTGCCTTTTAGCCCAAATTTGACGTGTCAGCGAGGTCTGATTTGTCGAAATTCGGAATCTACGCATACGATTCCTTTCTATGAAAACATTTTTGAAGCTCTACGACCTTTCCTAAGGCCTTTTCCAGCAAAAAAAGGTGCGCAAATGTCCAGGTGCGCAAAAAAAAGGTCGCATTTGTTCCACCCCCAACTTTCAACTTTTTTTGTTAATAAGGTGAAAATTTTACTAATTTAAGGCCGGATTCATCAGCTCTTCATTAAAATGTTCGGTGTGTGAAAGCTTGCCGACATTCAACCTCGATCACCTTGTCACCGATTGTCAAGCCTGTTGCACAAAAGAGAAAGAAGCTGAACACGAGGTAATTTTGCAAATAAAGAATCTAGATAAATTTAATGTTTGCTGAATTTTGCAATTTAAAATTTAAAAAGCTTTATAAAGGAAGCAGACACAATTCTTTTCAGAAATTCCCATTAGCACATGTCGAAGTTTGCGAATGCAATTTGGCCCGATTCCCGCAAGTTCAAGGTTTGTATAGAACTTATTTGGGAACTTAAAAATGTGCCAAATCTATACTTTATTATGTTATGTTCATTTCAGCTTTTGTCCATCAAAACATGGCTGATCAATTCGGAGATCGGGTGAAGGTTCGACACGTGAGAGGAGTTCGCCCGCAAATCGTTCTCAAAGATCTTAAAGGTTTGTCTACTGAATAGCTTTTTGATATGATTTAGCAAATTCTATAGAGTTATTAGAGTTAGTTTATGTTAAGAATCCACAGCTCCATGCACTTAAGGTTCAAAACTTTTCTTTAAACGGAAGATTGATTCAGTTTGCTTGTGTACTAGCTAGAATATCTAGACGGTTGTGTTATAAAGTGACTAAAAAGTGTTCTAAAAGTTCTAAAAGTGACTAAACACTTTCAAACTAAAGTTTTACCCGTTTTAGGTATCACGCGTCAGACGTTAAACATTGAGAAATGGGATACAAACACGATTATCGACTTTTTAGTTCAATGGACTGAATAGGCTAAGGTATGAGAAGTTATTCTAACTTGAGACCTCAGATATTACTTTTTTTTTGGTAGCTTATTCAATTCATAAACTCCTTTTATTAACCCTAGATGACCAAAGTGTTATTTGTTTCAATTTTTTATGATTTTAAATTACCTCGGGTACACGTCCTTCCTTTTTCGGCTGTTTTTCTTATTACTTTAAGATTAATTTATTGTGCCGGGTTGTAAAATGTTATCTTGATATAAACGATATAAAGATTATAATACATTCAGCAGTCAAAAACATACCAAAAATCCTAAATTCTTGTGTTTATACTAAACTTTGTTCAAATTTATTACCTTGCTTTGTTAATTTATTGTAGTACAATTTTTCTCTATGTTCATTGAGGAAACACTCCACGAGACTTCATTTTACAGTTGTCAACATCTAAACATGTACTGAATACTCAATTCTATAAGACTATCGTTGTTGTTTTTATCGACTAATCGATGAACCATTTGACACTCCACGAGTTTCATCCAGTTTCACTCCATTTTCAATTCCTAAAGTTTTCTTTTCAATACTAAAGGACAAAAATGGACTATTTATTGTTATAAAGACTAGTTAACCAAAAATTCCTTCTTTCCAAAAGGGCTCACCGTATCCAAACATTATCTGAAAGTGGCCAGCCAGTACCAGCTGATGTACTTTTCCATATCCGCAACCGTTTGCAATTGATACCAACTTCTCACCACGTTTTTCTTTGGCTGGAAATAATTCAAAGCTTGCATTTACGCGCTTTTAATCTAATGCTAGATTCACCCTATCATAATCTTGCAGTTTCCCGTAACACCAATGATCCTCTGTCAGCAGTTCACTGATCTCATACCTAGAAATAATCTGACTATGACTTTTAAAACAAAGATCTCAACAGGTGAAAACACTCTGCTCCATTACAACCAGAAGTACTGCTGTGGAGACAATCAATGTTTTGTTAAAAATAGACTAAATACAGAGATTTATTCACATGAAATTTTCGTACCTGTTCAGAAAATTGAACTTTGTGCCCAAAGAAGTTCCATTGCACCTCAATCGCGTTGATTGGACTAAAAGTAAAACGAACCATAGCTTTTCTAGCATAGCACGAGTCGAATTGTCCTTGATCTAAAGACATGTATAAAACGCCAATCTTTTATCTCAGCGCTATACTGAATTGTGGAAGTGAAAAATTGTTGAAATCGAGAACTTACCCTGTAAACGATTGAAGAACGCTTTTGGCGGAGATTCGGAATGGATGTACATATTTTTGACGACTTGAGCGGCTACGTTGACTGCTTTTGTATCCATCACATACTGTTCAACGATTGTTTATGCTCTGACTTTTCATACTCACCCTGGCTCCCTCAGCGACCTCCAAATCGAAATGGCTCTCTTTCAAAGTGGTACACTCTACCGCGCTTATTCTCTTACAAATTTTTCAATATACCAGCTCTATCAATGTTTAATCTAATCAAAAAAGAAAGATAAGCATTTGACAGAAAAAGATAACAAATAAGGATTTGCACGAATAAAGATAACCATTAGAGTTGCACCTCTTCAAACTCGGCTTTGTTCTTGGCTTGTTCTTTTCTCTGAGTTTCCTCGGGAGTTAACCCATATAAAAATTGAATAAATTTACATTGGCTTACAAGTGTCTAGTTTTATCGCAAAATTCTATAGTTTCCAATTTAAAATAGCTTGCTTTCCAGTGAACTTCTCGAACTTTTCGGAGTCCGAGTCGCCGAGAATGTGCTTCAAATGTTTCTTCAAGTCTAGCCTCTCAGAAAAAGTCATGTCTTCCATAATAATCCATAATAATAAGCCAAAAAGGAAAAAAATCAAACGATTCATTGCTCAAGAACAATTCAAGCATCAACAGAGCTGTTTCGGTGGATTGGTTGCCGCTTTTGTACGGAACGCTTTGTGAAATTTCTCAAATAAACCTTTGGTTCATGTTCGAAAAGATGGATTCATCATTTTTATCATTCTTTTTTTTTCTTAATCAGCATTTGATTCAATAAAATTGACCAAAAGATAGATTTTAGTTTAAAGATTTCAAAAATCTCTGTGTATTGCCATTTAACTCTTTCTATTTAACTCTTTCTTTATGCTACTTAATGCAAAATTTTCGACTTTCTTCAAATTTCAAAGTATTTATTATGCTTTTTTTGTAGACTTTCAAATTGAGCGACTTTTTTTGAGTTTCCAAATAAAAGATATTATGTTTCAGTTATGCAATGCCAAAGTATGTACATCAATCACAGATCTTCATCAGTTATTCCATTTGTTACCATTTCATGGCTGTAAGGCGGTAGGGTATCCTGAAATTGATAAGATGTGAATTTTCAATCAAACGTTTACCGTTATTGTGGTGAAAACGTCAGAGAATGATTCGTAAATCGGAGCACCAAGAGGGTCATTTTGAGAGAATGTACTGTCGGAAGTGTTTGATGAGATCGAGTTTCGTTTCTTCTCCTCTCTAAACCTGTTTACTTATAACAGTTATAACTAGACTTCAAAACCAAACCCAACAACCCGCCAATAGTTGGGAGGGCGGTATGAGATTTAAACAAAAACATAGGTTTTGTGAGATTGGGGGGGTAAAAGAGTGCGAAGCTTAAGTTATTCAGTTATTATTTATAGTTTACTTAGTTAGTTACTTAGTTACTTAGTTACTTAGTTACTTAGTTACTTAGTTATAGTCATAGTATTATAGTTTACTCTATAGTTAGTTAAAGAGTTAAAGAGTTTGAAACGGCTAAAGTCTTTTGTTTCTTTCACCAGAACAAGAATCAAAGCCTAGGCTATGGTTATCGGAGCAGAAAACATTCAAGCATCAAGACAAAACCTCTTTCAAACTTTTAACCAAAGCTAAAGATCAATTCTTTGTTCATCTAAAACATTATAAAGCAATTTGATCAGCTTAAAACTATTGAGCTTTTTCAATAAAACTATTACGAAGCTATTACTTTCCAATGTCCATGCTTCACTCACCTTTTATCAATCAACGGACTATCCGCTTTTTGTATCAAAGGTTTTCGATGCCCATTGCTCTCATGCACCTCTATTTTTTCACACGCCTCGTCGTTGAAAAGAGAATTTTTATATTCGTTTAAGATTTCACTGCCGATCGATTGCAAGAGTAATGAGATGAGAATAGCCTAGAATTCCTTTTGATTACCCTAAAGTCTCGAGTATAAGCTCATCCGAGTATAAGTTCTGCCTTAATTTACATTCGCTTTAATTGCTTTGAATTTCTTTTTGTTGGGTTTTTATACATTTTTATTATTATATAAACCTTTATTATTGTTCTTGGAGCGCGGGATACTACAGGGTGACAGCCTATCACCATTGCTATTTGTTATGTGCATGGATACATCCAGACGATAGTGTTGAAGAAGACGCTGGAAAGCATCTCTTTCGACCGTCGACGTGGACTTTGGCCGGATGAAGAGGCCAGGGAGGGATCCATAAGACTGAGCACCGGAGAGGAGCAGGGCGGACGCGCCGAGCCACGCCCGGAGCAACAAATAACAGCATAAAATTGCTATAACCCTCAATAAATTTACTTCTATTATTGTTCTTAAAAAGCAAAAAAGTTATGCTGCAGCGGGGTTCGAACCCTCGACACACCGCACCGGAGACAGCCGTCAATTTGCATGCGAAAACCAAACAGAACTTATACTCGCGACTTTAGGGTAATTTAATTTCCTTTTACCAGCATACCTGTTCAGTAAATAGGGTGATCCATTGGAATGTGTCTTTGCTGAGAAGATATTCGAATTGGAAAATCAATGGATCGTTGGGACGAGGAGGAGAGGAGATTCGCCAGACGCGGATCCTGGTCGCTCGAAAGGCTTCTTCAATGTTTTGACCCTGAAATTGGTGTTCGTTGGTGGTCAGCTTCATTATTAATATAATATAAAACCCACCTCATGCCTGTATTTGAACAGAATCTGCCTCCTTCCCATACTGACACTCACAACCGAGTCCGGCCTTGGATAATCACTCCGACACTTTCCAAGCTCTTCCATCCCATAACTTGGGAACAAATGACATGCTCGGATAAACTAAAAAAATTGTTCGATTTCAAGAACATATTTTCAAACTTGTGCCATATTTTCCTGTTTCTCAAGGTTTTGCAATTTTTCAAGAGTTTCTTTTCGTTGAATCCTTAATCGTTTGCAATGAAAATCGGATTTTGCCTGTAAAACTGAAATTGTTAAAACAAGCTCTAGACAAACTTGAGCATACAAAAGTCGAGTAAAGACTCGATCATCGAGCAAAGATTCCTCGATTCTCGGATCCCAGATCAGCTTTTGGAGGGTGAGCTTATGATGAATGCCCCTAGCGGCTGAGCGTTGATTCATTAGTTGAAGAGATGCATAAGGGGATTCAAAGTTTCGGAGGAGACGAATAACTAAATTCTAATGAAAGTTTTGGACTCTCTATAGCTAGCTATGGATCCTAAAAGTCTATAAATCTGTTTGAATTATTGAATTTGAAAGATCACTCATTCATTATCGAGATCTCGACTTAGACTTATCGAGATCTCGAAGTTCTTATCGAGACTTATCGATGCTTATCAATATTATCGGAGAGCTTATCGATCTCGAGATCTCAACAACGAGATATCAGATCAACGAGATCTGATAAGCCTATCGATAATGGTAAAACTCTAGTTGTTTCTCAATCCTTTTAACTGAGGCTTCTTTCTGGGTAATTCGATGCGCTGACTACGAATCTCGATATCCCGACCTGGGTTTTTAAAATTCTTAAAGATTTTGGAAATTGAGATCTTGATATCGATAAGCTCTCGATTTCGATAAGCTCTTGATAAGCTCGATAAGCTCAAGTCTACTCACCCAGCAGATCGAATCCTTCACTCGAACTCGTCCCTTCCTCTTCCATCAAACTCTTCGGCGAGCCAACAAACAATCCAAAATAGCTTTTCAGTCGAGAAGACTCAACTTCCAATTTCTCGCATAATATCTATAACTTCAGATATTTCAAAGAATTCTCTTTCAATGCAACCTCAAGAACTTCACTTGTTGAACTCCGCACATTACATTTCACCGTTATCTTCTCACCATCAGCTAACAAAATATCTAGTGAAACCGTTGAGCAAGTTGGTCGAAAGTATTCCTAGCACTTCATTCAATATGAGACAAACTTAAACACTCACAATTTGAAAGTCCAAAAACGTCTTCTCTATGTAGAAATCTCGAGCGATTTGTGGGCTTTGAACAACTGAAAACGAAAATGTTTAGCATTGATTTTAAAAAGCTCACGTGATTGAAGGTATTTAGAGATTTTAATCCTTCTTTCTTCCAAACCAGGACCATCAAGATTTCGAAAAATCTTCTTTGGTGGAAATTCAGGGCCTTTTAGCTTAGCCCCAAATCTGTAAGTTTATAAATTTAGACTTTAAACGATTTGTTACCGATTCCTCAGTGTTTCTGAGAATTGGTGTAAGACGGAGAATCGCACGGCTGCATGAAACCAGCCATTCACGTGAATGTTGTACGCCTAAACAACTTAATATTTTCATGTTTCTATTACTTTGCTTGCTCAGTCTATCTGGCAGTTTTTAAAGATCAAAATGAGCTTCTTGAAATTCCTGAATAAATCGTTTAAGTCTTTTACCGTGTACTTGCTCAGTCCATCTTTTCTTTCAACAAGAGTCTGCGTGTCCGGAACCGATATGTGAATCATTCCCTCGACACCATTGGACTAAGAAATTTACATACAGGGTGACCAAGAATTACCGCAATAACTTTTTGGAAGAGTATCTGGGACAAATGACAGATTCGCCGGAGAGATGTCGACTAGCGCTCATTCAAGCGCTTGTTAAATTAGTTGTATAAGTCGAATCGGGATGTTTTTGGTAGATAAATGTTGCCGAGAATTAGGTCTACAATTCTCTTTATAACATTTGCCACTTTTGAAATAAATTCGACATTTCCTAGATACTTTTCCAAAAAGTTGTTGGAGTAATTTTTGGTCACCCTGTACAGGGTGCAGAACTTTTGCCGCACCCTGTATTATCAATCTTCAGATTTATCTTAATCTCCAGATTTATCTTAATCTTCAAATTCTTTACTTTTGCTAACTTCCACGTGTTTTGTAAGCGACACGATCGGAGGTATGGGTTGAGAAACTGAAATTTAAATTGATTGATAAAAAATAAAAGATTAAAAATACGTCAGGCTCTGAATATTGCAAGAAATCCAAAGTGGAAACGTCAGGAATTATTAGATTTGATATTGAAGTCTCTGGGGATTCCATATGACAATTTTAAGGATTGGAAATAAAAATATAGTTGATAATTAATAAAAATATAGCGCTGAATTAGTCGAAGAGTGAAAAATGAGAGTAACAAGTATCGTTTTTACTGTCGAAAAAAATTTTTCAGAAAGGGAACAATGGGATGAAATGTTTGGGTGGGGGAAAGGTATCATGAAAGAGAGACCGGGGAGAAAACAGTGAGAGAAACCGTCTCTTCTTCTTTTCATCTCTCTTTTCTCTAAACTATTTGGGAATTCCGGGAGTGAATCGTGTATAATCACAGCCAGAGACAGAAGGGAAACAGCATCGCCAATCATCACAAATGCACACATGAGGAACGCTTGATTGAGGCTCGATTCGCTCAATGATTTTGGGTCTATGTTTAATTGGAGAAGGATTATCGGTTTGCAAATTTGATAACAAGAATTGTTAGCTATCTACAACATTGTCATTCTTAAAAGTTTGCACAAAGGATGATAAAGGTTTTTTTATAATCTAATGAGTTCTAATAAGCTATTTTTATGAGCTAATAAGATCTAATCAGCAATTTTTATAATCTAATTAGTTCTAATGAGCTAGTTGATTCATTTTAATATTAGAAAACCAATGAAAGAATCGATTCATGGCTGCTTTCTGTCACAAAGTTCACTGGAAGAGTACTTATCCATCCCACTTTTAATTGATTAGCTACGGAAAAACAATAGCCTAAAACAGTATTACTTGCTAATATATCGAATATTTCAAAAGAATCACCATCGTCATCTTTAAAACCAGCCCTTTCACGAAGCATGAGTGTATGTTGAGTCTGCTACCCTTTTCCCCTTCTTTTTCTCTCCTGTACAGCTCACATGGTCCTCTGTTGATCTCAATGTTTATATTTCATGAAAAGAGATCACTACCATCTCTTGTTATCATAGATGATTGCAAAATGAAAACAACTTTTTACTGAATTGAGGGTTTTAATAAAGTTTTCATTTAACAAGGAAGTTTTTCAAGAAATTGATAATTTTACAAGGTAGAAAAAGAAGAATCGAATAAAGCTACAAGTTTAAAACCGTTTTTTTTTGACACAACAAATTCTAAAAAGAGTGAAAGATATGCTTTCAAAATCTAAAAATTATAAAAGCAATCGATCAACAAAGAGCTATAATAGTGGTCAGTCGATGAAAGGTGTGGGATCTCTCTTTCGAGTAAAAAAGTGAAGGAAGAAGTCGAGAAACTGGATTCCCCCGTCTTTTCCCTTTGTTGATCGTTTCTTTTGCACTCGCAAAGAGTTGTTCCCCTTTTTCTTCGAAATATCTAGGTCATTCACACCCCAGAGAAGGGAATGGGTACGGTAAGTGGGATGCAAAATATGGATAGCTGAAGAGCATTTAGCTTTTTGCATCAAGTTTCTTATCCTTGTGGTTATCGAAAATATATATTGGGTTGGTGGAAAAGTCCTTTCGGATTTTTTGGGAGAGTACCTTAAATTTGTCCAATTTTGACGTTTTATAGCTCATCCTAAAGCTGAATTCAAGACGGATCGATTGGTAAAAAACGTTTTGAGATATATCTTTTCTAAAAGTTTTTACAGCTATTTTAGTAAAGGGCGGCAGAGCCAAAAAATGGCTGTTTTCACGTTTCGTTGGTTTTCCGTGCAGAAACCTAGGACAAATTTAAGGTACTCTCCCAAAAAATCCGAAAGGACTTTTCCACCAACCCAATACCATTAAAAAAGGAGGCCTTTGTGTAGCTTGCCTATTATTAATTTAGAGAAAAGATCTCGGCAAGCTCCGTTGAACTGAAATCAAGTTAAATTCTGAACCGCTTTGGGCTAGGCTCAAATTTTTGGGAATCATTTTTGTCCTAAATTTTGCTGTATTTTTACTACAAATTTGGCATTTGATAAACCAAATTAACTGAGACACTCAATGCTGAAATTGAGCTGAAAAATCGGCATCTATTCACATCTACAAGATATTCTTCAGCTCCGGGATATCGCAAAACTTTTTACCAAGTCAACTCATGCCCTAAGAATCTTAATCTAAAGACATAATTTACTGAAGACATAATTTGTTACGGTATTCCAGCTAGAATAGGATATTCGGTCTAGAATAGCTAGATTACGGTATTTAGGCTCGATTAGGGTATTCAGTCTAGATAGAGTATTCAATCTAAACTGTCTGGATTACGGTATTCAAGCTAGAATAGGATATTCGGTCTAGAATCTAAATCTTAATCTAAAAACATAATTTACTGACATACTCAACACTTTTCCTTTTCTCAACAAAAATTTAAAAAGTTGTCTCCTTAAATTCCTCGATTCGAGTCTGGTTCTACACTACTGGACAATGAAATATCATATTTGAAAAACGATCGTCACTTTTGCGCGTCTGTAACTCCCTTATCTTTACCGTATTTCTAAATATTAATCTTACCATTGTGTAGCCCTTGAAAAGAGCTTTCAGAAAATGTATAACACTAATAGTTTAAACTCAAAGACAAGGGAGTTACAGACGCGCGAAAGTGACGATCGTTTTTCAAATATGATATTTCATTGTCCAGTGCTGTATTTGGCTCGATTTTCCTTTCGGATATTCATTAGTTTAGTTTATTTTGGTTTGAAGAAGTGGTCCAAATTGAGACCAATTCACTGTAACAAAATTATTGACGGGTGGGTGTAGTAATATAACTTTTGATGGTTTTTTTTGTAGAAATGAATAGCTCCAATCGATTCGCCAATCCCGAGGGATACGGGGAATACAATTTGAGAATTTGGGACAGAAATAGCCTCCAGGAGTTTGAGTATATTGGCGCCCAAAGCAACAAAGTCGGCTCGGTCGCTCATGGCTCCTAAACTTAAACCTGTCAAGTTCAGAATTAGCTTAAATCCCTGAAGAAATTGTTTAAGTCTTCAAGAACCATTTTGGATCTCAAAGTTTACGAAGTCTTTGATCCTTTAGTTAAACTTTCAAAATATTTATGATAGCTGAAAAATCACCTACACAATACTTTTTCTATGAAGGCGCCATATCTCAGCAGTCTATTCTCATTGACCCAACGGCTTTGTGGGTGCGGATGGGTCACCTCACCTGTCCAAATATCCCCTATTTCCCCTCAAATCTACCGCCAAATAGCACTAGATCGGGCAAGCTCATTAGCCTGTTCTCCTATTTTTTTTTTGAACCAATTATTCTAGACGATTAACATTTCGTTCGGCTTCACAGAAAGATCGTTCAGGTTTATTTGTTCGCCCCGAACGCGGAATATCTTTGAGTGTTTTGTGTGTGCTTTCTTCACTTGACTCATTCATTCATTTTGCGATAAGCAGAAGTCTGATTTTCTTTTAAATTCTCTTGCTAAAGAAATTCTTAGATCTTTCTTTAGTTTCAAAGCTTCTAGAATTTTTCAATCGTTTTTTCTTTATCTAAATTTTCAAATCAATCAATTGACTAGTTTATTCTTGAAATACTATTGTACAAAACTTTTCAAGCAAGTAAAATTTTCTTATTTCTTTTTCTGAATGTACAGGTAAGACGTTTTGAAGAAAGAAATCAACAAATTTGCATTTATTTCCCGATCACCCAATTATACAGCTTTTTATCAGTGAACGGGTGTCTTTTGGGTCAATGTATGCAAACAATATCAACAAATTCACAGCACCTAAGGCTATATCGATTGTAAAAGCACGCAAGAACTGATTCCTAGACAATTCCTTGACAGCAATTCTACAATTCTCTAATAACTAGTAACAATTCAGTACTGTTTGACTATTCCATTAACCTTTGTCAACTTTGCGATTATAAAATCAAGCATTGTAACATATTTGACCCCAAGTAAAGTTCATCGAAGAGCTTTAGTACCAGAATGAGAGCATCTGGTGTATATGAAATGGAGAAAGGAGGGGAAGAGTGATGGACAGATGACAGACAATCCTCTCACTCCCATTCTCAACTGACAAATGACAGAGTGGGCTTTATTGTGTCAATCTTTAAGTCATAAGCCATAAATCTTTAAACAAGTTATGACTTTTTCAATTCTCGATATCCAGAGCTATTCCTAGACAAAACTTTTGCTATAAACATTGGGTTATTTTGTTCAACTTTAGGCCAAGTTAAGCTAAACCAAGCCAGGCTACAATTTGACTCCAAGAATTTGCTTTAGACTTAGGCTTTTATATTTCTAATGAAATCTGACCTTAACCTGTCTTCGTCTGGCTTGCTGGTCATGCTTTTGACTTGTATTAGGTTGGCGAATTGAAAACTGCGAGACTTTGAACTAAAATTTATTGAACATAAAAGCATCAATTCATTCCAAATAATTTCCATTATTATTGACGACTTCTGCCCATTTTACAGGCAATTTGCGGATTCCTCTTTCGTAGTAGGATTTTGGTTTATGTGTGAGACAAGTGTGAGACTCAAAAATGGAGGACTGGAGATGTCCCAGTTTGAGCACTTTCTTCAAAAGAAACCCGTTTTGGTGGCAATAGAAAAGCTGTAGAGAATCAAAAATTAGGCTTATAGCCAAATTTCCAAAAAGATACACTTAGTAGTTTTGCCTAAAATGCAAGTTTTGTGAAAATTCGTAAATTTGGCATTTCTTGAAAACCAGTTTTTGAATCGTTCTGAAAATTTGGCTATAAGCCTAATTTTTGATTCTCTACAACTTCTCCATTGACACCAAAATGGATTTCTTTTGAAGAAAGTGCTCAAACTGTGACATATGACAATGGACAGCAGTTTTCAATTCACCAACCCAATATGAATAGACATTTGATGATCCGAATCGCTTTCTCCATATTTGAATCCAGTTACACTTCAATTACTTCCTCCATTTGTCTATTTGTTGCCTATCCATCCATCACAATTTTCGAGTGCACTTTCCCAGACTCAAAGTACCGTCAATTATCTCCACTCAATAATTGCGTTGAAGATTTCCCTTATGGATTATGCAATCATTCTTGAAAAGACAAAACCGAATGGCTATATTGAATATTTTAAAACTTTCTCTTATAAGATAGAAACTTTCTCTTAAAACTTTCTCTTTGAAAGATTTTCAACTAACAAAATTCAAAGCACATACATTTTTGATTGCCTCTATTGACAGCTGCTGATTTCAAGAACTCCAAAAGAATTGCTCATATTTACTTTTCCAAGGCGTTTTTCCGTGTTTGTCGTTGTGTTTATCTCGGCGAGTTTTCCCCATTTTCTCTGTGATTTTTTCGTTGAGTGCTCAAAACCATGAGTCGACCCAATGCCTCGATTTCCTTCCGATTCTTTTTGTGGAAATTATTTAAACACTTCCTGCTAGCTTTTTAAGGTTCTTTACTCTTAAATTTCTATTACACAATGTAATTTTTAATCTCAAACATATCCATTTATCTTTTTAAATCGCTTTTCCAAATCGCTTGCTGAAATCTCTTGCTCAATCCTGACCTTTTCAACAATCTATTGTTTTGTTTATTGAGACCAATTCACTGTAACAAAATTATTGACGGGTGGGTGTAGTAATATAACTTTTGATGGTTTTTTTTGTAGAAATGAATAGCTCCAATCGATTCGCCGATCCCGAGGGATGCGGGAAATACAATTTGAGAATTTGGGACAGAAATAGCCCCCAGGAGTTTGAGCATATTGGCGCCCAAAGCGACAAAGTCGGCTCGATCGCTCATGGCTCCTAAACTCAACCCTGTCAAGTTTGTCAAAGTCGATTGTCCCAATGCCTCGATTTCCTTCCGATTCTTTTTGTGGAAATTATTTAAACACTTCCTGCTAGCTTTTAAAGGTTTTTTTACTCTTAAATTTCTATTACACAATGTAATTTTTAATCTCAAACATATCGATTTATCTTTTTAAATCGGTTTTCCAAATCTCATTCTGAAATCCTTGCTCAATCCTGACCTTTTCAACAATCTATTTTTCTGTTTATCTGTTTTGAATCACTTTGGTCGATTGCCAGAAATCTGGATAAACTATTGTTTTCATTTTCATTCATCAATTGTTTCTCGCGGATTTTCGTAGCTTGTTTTCCCATTCTTTTTTTTTCTTGATGGCTAATTCGAGGGCATAGTCATGCGCAGTTTACCCCAAACTCTCTCCAGTCTCTGCCTATTCTTCTTTTCCTTCTTTTCTTTCATTTTCCTCTCGATCCCATCCTCCGTGCCCGATTTTCATCCCGTTTACCGGAGCTCCGAGCTTGGGATCGATATTGACCAGCCCGATCCTTTTTTCTTTTCACACTCGATCCCTTTTCCCTCATGGCTCATCAAAAATCAATTCTCATTCATTTAAGTGTAAATTTTTGCATTACGAATGCTGCCTTTCGATAAAATGCTTCATTTTTTTGTTTTGTTTCATTTCAAAGTTAATATATAGATCTAATGACTCATAAATTCTTCCTATTCTATACTAAAGTATAATTCTTGTATAACGAACAATTATATATAATTCTTGCATAACGAACTAATGAAACACTTCACAAAAAAGGATTGGATGACTGGTAATGGCGGTGTGATGATCAAAAAACCTATTAGATTAGGATTAGGGTACCGTAAACGTATAAAATCTGCATAAAAACTTCAGTGTAATTGATAGGTATCGATTTAGAAAAGTATAATTATACTTTCGATACCTATCATTTACACTGACCGTTTTTATGTAAATTTTATACGTTTACGATACACTAATCCTTCAGAATTGCGCGGTTCATGGCAAAAAATAATCAACTTAACGTAAAAACGTTTAATTTTACCACTTTTTTTGTTACTATTTGATAAAATTTACATAAAAACAACTAGTGCAATCGACTTTTCGAAGTTTTTACTAATAAGTTGATTATTAGTTACCGTAAAAGCTGTATTAGCCCCCCTAGAGGAGCGTCGCGTAGCCTAACTCAAAGTTTAAACTCAAAGAACCGCTCATTAGCGATGCGCTGGGGTAAAAATCTATTATACTTTGCGAAATCGATACCTCAATCAATTACAATGATCGTTTTTATGCAGATCAAAATTCTCATCATTCTCCTCATCATTTTCCTCATTAACAATCGATACCTCAATCAATTACAAAACATTGTCGGCGGCGAGGTCGAACCCACGACCTCCCGCTCTACTAATGAGTAACGAACGCTCTAACAATGAGCTACACCGATCTACCAATGAGCTATCCCATTACCGTCAGAGTAGGGCCTTATGTCTTACTTGTCATTTTCTCATTTTACTTGTCATTAAAAACCTATTCTACTTTGCTAAATCGATACCTCAATCAATTGCAATGATCGTTTTTATGCAGATCAAAATTCTCATCATTCTCCTCATCATTTTCCTCATTAAAAAAACTTTTAGCAAGAATATTCTATAGAATTCTTTGTTGTAAGGAAATAAAATCAAACATTCTGTTGAATCATCAAAATTGTTCACTGATTATTTCCTAGAAATGGTGTCGATTTGTGTTCTTTTCTTTCAGCAATTGCTTGTTTGATGTTTCTTCCTGTTTTCCTTGTCATCTCCACAATCTCATTCCTTTTCCACCTTTTGTGTCATTCCTCCGAAAATGAGTCACCATTTCGGCTATGCCTTTTCCCTCCTCTTTCCTTTTTTTTTGCCCCCATTTTTCTCCAATTTTTTTCTGCAAATTCTCAAACCATAATTGATTACATTCTCATGAAAATTTCATTAATTTTACTGTTTTTCTTTTTGCTTATGAAAGACTTAAAGTTTTCTAAGTTTTCTATTAGAATTTAAGGTTTGAAATCAAGTTTTACACTTTAAACAAGCACAAAACTTGTTTACTATTCAAAATTTACATTGAAAATTCTACTTTGGTTTTAATTTTGAATTAAAAGTTAAACTTTCTTATACAAATTTCGCAATCAGCTGACTTTTTTCTTTTTTTCTTTGACAAACTTTTGCAATTGTTTTGTTTTCTCTTTAATATTACATAATTAAAAAACTCTAGCTCATTTTCTTTCAGGAAATGAGCCGACGAGAAGTGGAAGTGATAAAATACGGCCAACTTCAGAAGAAACTGATTCGAACGAAAGGGACGCTAAGGAGGAAAAAGGTTGGTAAAACTAAAAATGATATTCTGAGAAAATGACAAGTAAGACATAAGGCCCTACTCTGACGGTAATGGGATAGCTCATTGGTAGATCGGTGTAGCTCATTGGTAGAGCGTTCGTTGCTCATTGATAGAGCGTTTGTTGCTCATTAGTAGAGCGAGAGGTCGTGGGTTCGACCGACCATGTCTCGCCGCCGACAATGTTTTGTCTTCCCAGCTCCGGACTGTCCAACTGACAAACATTCCTTTTCAGGTAGCTTACTATGAAGATTCACTATGGGTGGCTCTATGCGTACATGATCACAAAATCCCGTTAATCGAATGGTATCGAACAGAGGAAAGTCTCAAGGAGCACAATCCGATCAAGGTTTGAAATGGAAAAATGAAAAATTGACTGAAATAATAGATCTAGAAATAGAAAAACCTACCGTAAATACTGTAATAGTACCCCACCTCCATAATGACGGTGCGGAGTGTTGAGTAGTCGAGCTTTGAAAGAGTTTTTCTCGACACTGGTTTATGCTACAATAAAGGCTTAGTTATCAAAAAATAGGTGAAATTCAGGGCTATTTTTTGTTACTAAAGATAATGACGGTGCGGAGTGTTGCGTAGTCTAGCTTTGAACGAGTTTTTCTTGACACTGGTTTATGCTACAATGCTCGCTTCGATATCAAAAATAGCTGAAATTCAGCGCTATTTTTTGATACCAAAGACGCATTTTTTGAAAGTACAGGCGCTTTGAAAAAAATGAAATACTAAGAAACTTTTGCGACTACGTGACTGTACGAGGGAGGTGAGGTACTATTACAGTATTTACGGTAGGTAAAGAGTACCCAAATGATTTCAAAGAATGGATTGATCAGTTGAAAAGGAATAGCTTCAGTACTGGAGTAAATTTTATCTCTCAATATAAGAGAACGTCAACTTTCACAAGTCAAACATGAAACTTTACCCAAATTTTGTTCCATTTTCGATATAAATTTCTATTCTAATTCTATTCTAGGTGATTGATCTCCTCTACACGAACTACGTGACAATCACTGTTCAAGACCATAACTGTTTTGTGATTGGTTTCAAAGGAAACCAAGAAACGCTGGAATTGGCGGCTATCACCAGGTTTTTTCGTCATTTCCTGTTTACTTTTTTCTTTTTCATTCATTTTTTGCTTTCTCCGAACTGGGCTTTTCATTCATATTTCCTTTTTTTTTCGATTCAATATTCATTTAATGTAAACATTCAATTTCCCTTTCGTCTGCCATTTGCATTCATATATTTTAACAAAAGTCAGACTCATAGACATTTCTTTGAAAGTTTAAATCAAATTTCTTCAATGCTTTTTCCATTCAGACGTTTTTTTAAGTGTTTGAATTGAATTGAGACCGAATCTTTTTCTAGGGTAGACTCAATTTCCGAAGTGAAACGAAGAGTGGATCATTTGAAGACTCATAGTTAGATCAGAATCATTTCACGTCCAAATTTTTGAGTCTATGTCTTTAGAAACATTTAAAATCATTGGAAAGCATGAGATTTTCCTAGTTTTATTATCTAAATTCTTCTACTTAAAACTTCCTAGCAATACCAGCTGTAGTTTTCGATCCCCTAAATTATCTATGAAATGTTTGGGGAATGAAATTGATGTACTTTGGCCCACGCTTTCCGAAAGAGAAAAGGATTTCATTTATGGGTGCCAATCGGTTTCACTCAAACTAATTTCGGGATTTATTTTTACGGGAGAACCTCTATTTCAACTCTCTCTCTTTCTCTATTCATTGATTTCAGCCGCGAGCGCTCGGAGTGGGTGACCGCTGTCAACGATTGTCTCATCCGATTGGGAGTTCTTCAAAACGAATCCAACGTCTACGGGGATTGTGTCCCGCAAAGGTTGGTCTTTGGTTTTTTAACGTCTAGAGATTCTGTTAAGATAATGGAATTCTTTAAGAAACTAACTCAAAAGCAAAACCAATCTTTGTTTAGTCACCCATCAAAAAACCAATCTTTCTTTGGTTTTCAAGCTTCAAAAAATCGTTGCTGTCAAGATAAAGGAAAAGATTAAAATAAAATGAAATAAGAAATTAAAGAAATTTCAAGTCCACTTCAATTTTCAACTTTTTAGATCCGCTGAACCGCTAAACCTCCTCGATTCCCCATTGGCTTCCTCACAAACAACTTCTCCCATTCGATCTCCTTACTTCAATTACCCGAATCTCAGTCTTGACGAGCCGATTCCGCTCAGTGACGAGGTAATTGATGGCCAAAGATTTTCAACAAATATAAACAATCAAAACAATACTTTTAGGGAATCTCAATCGAGAACGAGAATCGGCACTCGTACGGGCGACTCTCGAACGGCGAAACGGTGCCACCAATGAACAGTCGACGCCATTCTTCGGTCGATCATTCGCCGGTAAACTATCAAATTTTCTTCTTTCTTTCTCTTCTTTCTCTTCTTTCTTTCTCTTCTTTCTCTTCTTTCTTTCTCTTCTTTCTCTTCTTTCTTTCTCTTCCGTGTCCTTTCTATTTCTTCTTGAGCAAAGAAGACGATAGCTCAGTGGTAGAGCAGCGGTTAGCAGAAGGTCGACGGTTCAATTCCACCTTTGTTCGAACTTTATTGACTACACATCAAGCCAATAAACACCAAAATATTGTTTAGGCTCGAGTCGGCACTTCTAATTCCAATGGTTCAGTTGAACACTCAACTCCTACACCGAAACCGAGAAAAAGTATCACATCAAATGGTCTGTGAAGTCAAATTTCATAAATAAATTGGAAAAATGAGTACTTGTAACTCTTATATATATAAATTCTTCACTTACAATTGTTAGTAACAAAAAAAATAAAACTTATATGCAAATAGTAAGAGATTCACGCAAGAAATCTTATCCAGAATTTAATAAAAATGCTAGAATTGCGAGAATAAGAGGCATTGCTCTTAAAAAATGCTATAACAAACTAATTTTTAACAAAATTTTAGGTAGTATAACTCCGACAGTTCAAATCCGACCACCTCTGCCGCCTAGACAATCGGATTCGAACGAGTTCCCAAATCAAAATCGATTTACGACGAGTAGTGATGTGAGTTGATAATAAAATTCATACAAAAGTTGAAATTTATCATTATTAAAGCTAACAAGTTTAATGATTTAATTGCTTTTCTTATTCGATGAGTAAAGGAAGTCAATCAAAATCGTAAAAGCTGTAAGATTAGCCCCGCTAGAGGAGCGTCGCGTAGTCTAAGTTTAAACTCAAAGAACCGCTCACTAGCGGTGCTAAAGCCCCGCTAAAAAATTCCCGTTTAGTCTATTCAAGAAACTTAACGATTGTTTTTCTCCGTCGAACAATGACATTGTTTATCATCAGATCAACTGGAACACAATCTTTGCCTTGTTATCGGACATGTTTTTATCGGACTTCCACCTCATTTAGTCCTTTTCCATTCCCGAGACTCAAGTGGTCCTCAATGCAGCCAGTTTCGCTCGAATCTTTCTCAAAAAACCGAAAAATAAACGGGTAAATACTCGTTGTCATTGATAATTCTGAAATCCCACTCCTCTAAACGAGCTCCCACGACCTGTTGGTGTGAACTTTTCGTTTTTTTTGTGTCCACTCCTATATTCGTCTTTCTTTCTTCATTTCCCCCGCTCGAGTGACTCCGATTTGTGACGCGTGAACGGAGTGAGCAAAAGTGAACGACAAAGAGTGATTTATTACTCGAGTTGACAATGCCTCTCAAAGGAATTCTTTTCTAAGTGTCGTTTATTTGCTTGCTTTGTTTTTTCTAAATAAAAAACTTATTCGAAGCTATGAAAACCCCAAGACGAGTCGAAAAATCGCTTTCGTTTCAGAAGAATTTCCCCAAATATGTCAGTTTGCAGTTTTTGTACTCAAATTTGCTTTTTTTACAAATCCACAAGGTTACAGTAGCAATTCTATATCATTTTCATAAACGACAACAATTTTAGGAAGGAATTTATGATCTACCACGATCAGCAGCGGCTCTCTCCCTTTATGACTCATTGTCTCCACTCGGCTCACCAGTTGTGAACTCGGCTCTCATTTCAGCAATGAGTACAACGAGTTTAGCGTGAGTTTTGATAGACTTATCTATTAAATTATATTATAACTACCAGCCGAGAAACCCGTCTAACGGTGGATTTTTGCGAACTTTTTGGGGAGAGACGGCTTTGTCGCCGTGGAGCAGTGGATAGCGCGCCGGTCTATCGCCTATACTATCCGGGTTCGACCTCCCCGTGCGACTCGAATTGTGTTTTTTAAAAAACCCAAAAGCAACTACATGTAATTCTCTATTCAACGTCGCAAAAAGAATTGTAAACGGTCCTCTGGGGGGCTGAGGAGCGCACACAGACAGACAAACGGATAGACAGACAGACCGACGGACTGACAGACGTCTTAGTCCCTTTACATATAGTAAATTAAATTTCTCTTATGAATATCTTCAGAAGTAGCAGCACTGATTCGCGGGCCTCGTCCGAGCTTCGACACGAAAGACAACATGATTTTCGAAGAGCCTCTCTCATCCCACCACACCCAAATATGGACTATTTGGATGATCCATGTGAGTTTGACTTAACAAAATGCTTTAACAAGACGATTTGCTTTCTTACTTTGAAAATCTGAAATTCTTAAAGCTTTGAATTAGACTATAACCAATTTTTCCAACGATTTCCTCAATCCTATGAACAAGTCGCCGTGGCCGACTGGCTAAGAACCTCGTATTCTGGTCAGCAGGTCGGGGTTCAATTCCGGTAAATAAGTTTTTTAAAATCCTTTTAAAATTTAGACTCTCAATACACCAGTATCCGGCGCTCATCTGAGCATATCGAGGCTCGCGGGATGAGTCAGCCGCTGCGATCTGTTTCTGTCTCTCTCACAATGCTCATCGAAAGTGTCCTTTTTGTGGAGATTGGGAATAGAGTTTGGTGGGTTTTTTTCCATCCATGACTGACTTGTTAATCATAGGTGTTTACTAAAAAGATCCTAGCAAAACAAATCGGGGAATTTTGAGAAAATGTCCTTTTGTTCTTGAGAACAGTTGAGATTTATTGAGCTATAGTAATTCTAAGAATCAAAAGATCATAAAGAAATTCCAGGGTCGGTGGTTGGACTCAAAATCTCGATCAACAGCTCTCGTGCCTATTCCGAGTGGGTGATGAACTTGTTGAAGTGGAGAACACGCCAGTGCATGGAATCGAGAACATACCGCAATTATTTTATGATCTGTAGGTTCAGCAATAAGGGTCAGCAAGTTCCTTTTTTTCAGTTCAACTCCTGGAAGCCCGATCACATTGCAAATCCGGCCGATCCCCAATGCGATCACTTGTCGCCTCGTGAAACCATTTCATTCAGGAAAAGATCTGGGAATTGTTCTGCACAAAGAAAAGGTTGATTTTCAAAAGGCGTTTCTAAGATTTGTTATTTTCAGAACAAAATCTCGAACATCATTGAGGATAGTGCTGCGTATCGGAGAGGGATTCCGAAGACGATCACTTCATACTTTGAGCCGAATCTTCAAACACCGACAGTCATCACAGAGGTAATTTGCTTATAATCAAATGCTTATATCAACTCGATAAGCAAAAGTTACAAGCCAATCAAATCAAGCTCCTGCAGATTCAAAACTGAAATGCTACTCTAACCGATCTTACTTCATCTTTCAAAGATTTCATCATCTTCATTTCTTTTATAAGCGAAAATTCTGATTTCTAAACTGATCTGATCACTTTAACAAGCTATAATCTACATAAGCAATCTACAATACCAAAACTAAAATCATTTCTAGGTCAACCATCGCCGTCTTAACCCTCTCTCAAAAAGCTCCGAGCCTCTTCAAAGAATAAACGCTGTTCGCGAAGGAATGGAATTTTCAATCACTCTTCAACCATACGATTTCATGAAAGAAATGAAAAAACAACTCCGAAAAGTACCTCATCACAAGCTCTATCTTGGACAATAATCTGTTCATTTGTTAATCTTTTGAGCTCAATGTGATAGTCTTTGTGTAGATATTTTCTCAGTCTTCCGGCTTCTCCCCAGGTGATCTATGAATTTATCGATCACCCGGCTTCTCCCCCAGATGATCTATGAATTTTTGGATTATTTTGACGCATCTGAGTGCACATTATATATGGAAAACTTTAAAGGGTAATCCAAGAGAAGAATTCAAATATTCAAAGAGGCAGTTTGTTTGTTTGATGAAAATCTCATTATTTCTATAAATGAGTGCCGAGGAAATTCCCTCTCTCAGAAAACTTTCCTCTTTTCCCTCAACATTTCCTTTTCTTTTCTCTCCCTATATTCTGGACTCAGTTCTGCCATTTCCACTTAATTAAAGGAGCCAATAGGATCGAGGAAAAGAAGGGAAAGGAAAAGCAATATACATATGGTAAAAGTAGAAATATATCCCCTCCAAAACAGGAAATAAGAGGATACGAGGATATGATATACAGTGCATGAATCACCTGGCTTGTCTATAACCTTTAACCCGATGAACTTTGCTTGTAACTTTGCCAAGAGACCAGTCTTCTTTAACTCCTTAGTCCGGTAAAAATTTTGAATATCCCAGCTTGCTTTTTTCATTTTTTTCCAATTTTTAGATTAGTTACCATACGGGCTTTAATCTTTCTCTCCGATTTCGGTCATTTCCTGATTTTTTTCATGATTTTAACGCTATTTCTCTCCGATTATTCTAGATGATTTTTTGTCTTTTTTTTAATAAATTTTTTTCGGTTAATGCTTAGAAGAAGAATTTGAACAAATTACCATTAAAAAGTAAACAAAAATGATGTTTTATTAGCCTATCTGTGCCCAAATTTCGGACGTGAAGTTATTGGGTTGGTGAATTGAAAACTGCCGGCTATTTCGCGGGACTCGCAGATAAAAAAACAACAGCATTGAACCAGCTGAAAGGGGGTTTGGTTACTTCAACATTTCCTCAAATTATTGCGAAAAAATTATGCTTTCAGCTTTTTTTATTTTTCTTCACTTCTATTGCACTTGACAAACTGCCAGCGGGTTACGGGATTCGTCATGTCATGCTTCATGAGTTCCTAAAAGAGCACAGTGCAGGCCTGGCAGCTGCTAATATTAAAAAGATATATGAGGAGGATTCACCTTCCGAATGAACGTGTCGAGTATGGTTTGTCAAGTTTCGATCTGGGGACAAATCTTTGAAAGATACAGAGGGCCGTGGAGCGGCACCCCAACTGGATGATTCCAAATTACTCGAACTCATTACCAACGACCATCGGGTATCATCGCGTGAATTGGGAGAAGAGTTAGGGGTCGATCATGTTACAGTGCTAAACCACCTTCATACCCTTGGATTTAAATCGAAACTTGGGACTTGGGTGCCCCATGACCTCAATAACCCCCAGAAGTGGCAGTGCACCTCGATCAGTGCCGTCCATCTCTCACAATACAAAGGAAATCTTTTCTTTCTCGAATTGTGATAGGAGATGAGAAATTGGTTTTGTCTGTGAACTTTCAGAGGAAGTAGCAATGGGTGGGGCCAGGCGAGAAACCCGAAAGTGATCCTAAGCCCGATTATCAGAAAAATTTCATGCACCAAATAACGCGGTTAAACCGATTCCACATAGAATAGGTTTCGATCAACCGTCTTTGAGATCATTGAGAGAATTATCGAAAAACCTGTTAACAATCTCTGTCTCTAGTTTTGTTCATAGTGGGTTCGTTGCAATCTTTAAAGGAGCGTAAAACTGTTGTTCAAAAGTTTCACACCCGGTATGGTTATATTTTCCTATAACCAACGTGTTTCAATGGTACGTATTCGATCGATAAGCCAGAAAATTTATTATCCATTTCTCCTCAATGCAAAAATACGTGCTCATTTTTTGCCACTCACGGCCGCCGCCACCTCTTTCATACAATCACCCTGAATCGATCAGAATTCGAATACAATCTCTCTATAACGGAATGAAAGAGACCAAAAAATGTTTCCGTTATAGAGTGCCGTTTTATATAGCTTAGCGTTGGCCAAGACCAAAATTCCACTTCGTTATATAGAGTTTTCCGCTATAGAGTTCCGTTATAAAGAGAGTCGACTGTATTTCAGCATTGAAAATGAAAAGAAGCCCCAAAACCCTCTGTTTACAATATCTGTATGTAGTAAGTGAAAGAGATTTCCCCAAACTGCAGATTATATATCTCTAAAAACCTTTTGCGGGAAAACCGCGTTCGCTTTGGCGATCAGCGCGGCCACATTTGGAATGTCTTCGCAACCTTTCGCCACAATACCATCTCGACAATTTGCCCATTTGTTCCGATCGCTGAATGGAATGATTCTAATTAAATTCTTTACATGTTTAGGCAAAGTTTTTAACCAATGTTGGCTTTTACAATAGTTCCAAAAACTGGGCTATCATACAGCAAAATTTCGTGCTTTCTCGGCTCGATTAACAATAATTAATTTAGAAAACTTATTGTTAGTGAGGACTTTTTACCATTAGTCTTAAGTTTCGGTGACATATTTTAAAGCTGACACAAATAACTAGCCTGAAAGAAGAGTACAGGGTTATTCAGGATTACGGGGACTATGGGTATGTTTATATTGTATATTTTTGCTAAGAACGCTTTTACTACGTTTGCTGTTTGCTTTTACTAAAAAGCGTCTTGTATTCGCCCTCTTGAAGTCACTTACTTGAAATGATTGCACCTTTCACACCTTTTCTTTACAATTTAAAAGTATTCAATCAAAAATTGTTAAATTGAGCTGACTAGTAGCTAACAATCATTTTCGCAACTCATTGCACCGTATTTTCATACTTCTCTACCTAGATTTTCGCATTTCGCATTTTTGGCAAGGATGGCAAAAAAAATATGGGAATCTCTCGAACTTCTATAGGCCGTATTGAAAAATCGTCTTGGAACGAAAGCTTATAAGCTTTCCAAAAGCCAATTTCTTACGCCAGCCAGCAAAAAGAAACGCGAGGATCGTTCGAACCAACTTTTGCTTGGCTTCAATAGTATTGATCATCGGAACATTCTCTTCACCGATGAAAAAGTTTATCTACTTTTCCAATCGCCAACCTGCAACTCGTCCCAGCATGGGTCCTCCCGCACTTCGCCCACACTTCCAGCTTGTTGCCAGCCTGTTGAATGCATTTGAGCAATGGGGCAACTGGAAGACCTTCAAACTAATTGGAAACAGAGAAAACAGACTTTCTTGGATGGAACCCAGATAGGCATCGGTGCAGACTGCGTTCTTGTAAATCCCAGCTTCCTCTCTCTCGTCTGCACTCAAGCTCGCGTTAGTGGACGCGGCAACGAAATTTCTATAAAAAATTCTTCTAGCTTTTGTTTAATTTTATTATCAAGATTTGAAAATTATCCCAACAGTTCTGTTAAAGAGTTTTTCAAGAGATCGCAAAGTGCTTACACGCAAAACGATTTGAGCTTATCGATGTCGCCGCTCGTCATTGCTGAAATTAGATCGTCTGGCTGTCGAGCAAAGGCTGTCGAGGCTGAAAAGAAAATTCATAATCACAATTTGCCATTGTTAATTAATGCTAGATCGTTGAACAATCCTCGTTCACACTCTTTTGATTTGGAAAGAATCAAAAAAAATCCTCAACAATAAACAATGTCAGTCTTCAATAAACAATGTCAGTCTCCAAATCCTCAACAATAAACAATGTCAGTCTCCTCGAGGAGTTTTCAAGCTTTTTTTGTATTGTATAATGCAAAATTCGGTTTAAAAGTCAAAAATGAAATTTAAAAAAGCTACTGCAAGAAAAGTAGCCATTGAATTCGTGTGACAGAAGCGAAAATTTCTTACCGTAGCCATAAACGATAAAGCAGGTGAATAGAAACCTTCTAAGAAACATTCGATCATGAAATTTGGAAGAGAAATCCCAAAACTTTCCACTTTTCCACTTTTAACACTCGCTAGTTTTTGTTATTTTTGTTATTTTTATTATTTTTCCTATTTTTTGCGTTCCATTGCAATTTAATGCAATTTTTTTTGCTTTGCAAGTGATTGATGATTGAATTTGAAAGGGTTATTTTGAAGATTTTGTTCTAGTTGATTAACCCAAAAATGTAAGTAAATAAAATTTTTATTTAAAAACAAAGAACAAGAGATAAGCGAAAAACCAAAAGTAGCTTTTGGTTTTTGGTAACAAATACAGTACAGTACAGTACAGTACAAACAAATACATTACTGGACCAGCAATTATCACCTCACGAATTTTTCTTTATCTTTGAAGAGTTATAACTCTGAACCTTTCCATTGTAGACTAGAAGTGTTATAGTGATTTTGAAAGCTTAAAATGGGCTCTATAAAATGGTGCATTCGCTTTTCAAAATCATTTTAATTTATAGGATTTGAAATAGGATTTGAAAAAACAACATTTTCAGCGCTATTTTTCTTGTTGATACCGTGTTTTTTGGAAAGAACCTGTAAAATTACCCCTACAAATCTTGGGAAGAGAAATCCCAAAACTTTCCACTTTTCCACTAGAAATGTCGATTTTCGAGTCTTGGCGCCCGGGTCGGGTCAGCGGGTCGGGTCAGCGGGTCGGGTCAGCGGGTCGGGTCAGCGGGTCGGGTCAGCGGGTCGGGTCAGCGGGTCGGGTCAGCGGGTCGGGTCAGCGGGTCGGGTCAGCGGGTCGGGTCAGCGGGTCGGGTCAGCGGGTCGGGTCAGCGGGTCGGGTCAGCGGGTCGGGTAAGCTCAAAATTTTCGCCGGGTCGGGTCAAAATATAAATGCAAATTTACCAAATGTTTTTTAAGAAATGTTATTAACATAAGTATTTACTCGAACGCAACAATGAAATAGGCAAACAAAAATTAACAACAACAAATTACTTATCAATAACTGTTCCAATAACTGAACAATGTTTGAATGTTGCAATTCCTCCAATGCTTCATATTCCTTCCTCAGCTCGCTAACAGCATCAATGAAACTCGAAGGAAAAAGTTTTATGACACTCCGTCTAAAAGCAGCCGCGTCAAGTCATTTAAGAGGCTCCAACCCTTACGGATCCGTGTTATTCACCCGATAAACGGTGCCATATGCGCCAGAAGCGATTCGAGAAGTGTTTACAGGAGTAACATTGAAAACTTTACTCTTCGGAACCAAGGCAAAGGAGAAAATCAATCAAAATTGCGCTCTTATCAGAAAAATTTCATGCACTAAATAACGCGGTTAAACCGATTTCACATAGAATAGGTTCCGATCAACCGTCTTTGAGATCTAGCGATCTAGTGCTCCATTACACTACTATTAAACAAAATACGGTAGTTTAAATTATTTACTCATTGAGAGAATTATCGAAAAACCTGTTAACAATCTTTGTCTCTAGTTTTGTTCATAGTGTGCTCGTTGCAACCTTTAAAGGAGCGTAAAACTGTTGTTCAAAAGTTTCACACCCGGTATTCTCAAAAATACAATCTCTTGCAAATAAAAAAATCGACAGAACGGTATTTAATGTTTATGGTTATATTTTTTCTATATCCAATGTGTTTCAATGGTACGTATTCGATCGATAAGCCAGAAAATTTATTATCCATTTTTCCTCAATGCAAAAATACGTGCTCATTTTTTGCCACTCGCGGCCGCCGCCACCTCTTTCATACACTCACCCTGAATCGATCAGAATTCGAATACAATCTCTCTATAACGGAATGGAAGAGACCAAAAAATGTTTCCGTTATAGAGTGCCGTTTTATATAGCTTAGCGTCGGCCAGGACCAAAATTCCACTCCGTTATATAGAGTTTTCCGCTATAGAGTTCCGTTATAAAGAGAGTCGACTGTATTTCAGCATTGAACATTAAAAGAAGCCCCAAAACCCTCTGTTTACAATATCTTCAATATGTATGTCGTAAGAGGAAGTGATTTCCCCCAAACTACATATTAAATCTCTCTAAAAACCTTTTGCGATTGCGAGAAAGTAGCCTCGTTCGATTTGGCGATCAGCGCGGCCACATTTGGAACGTTATCGCAACGTTTCGTCAGAATGCCATCTTGACACTTTGACCATTTGCCCAGATCGCTGAATGAAATGATTTCAATCAAATTCTTTACATGTTTAGGTAAAGCTTTTAACCAGAGTTGGCTTTTACAATAGTTCCAAAAACTGGGCTATCATACAACAAAATTTCGTGCTTTCTCGGCTCGACTAACAATAATTAATTTAGAAAACTTATCGTTAGTGAGGACTTTTTACCATTAGTCTTAAGTTTCGGTGACATATTTTAAAGCTGACACAAATAGCTAGTTTAAGCTATTTTTTTTGCTCAAAAAATGTCTCTTTTTAGAACGGTCAAGAAGTGAGTGTACCGAGATGCGATCATCGACTTACACAAGCGTCGTGTTTTCGCGATGGATATCTCTAAGCGATTGATGACACGCAAACAACTTGTTGACAACGCGATCAAACGCTTTCAAGAGTTAGGAAGAAATTCTGATTGTCCGACTGGTCCGATCTGATTGGTGGTAAAGCGACCGTAGTCACCAAAGATAAAATCAAAGAGGTTCAAGATCAGCTACGCTTGAAAGCCACTCGTTCACAAGCGAGGATGGCAAAGAATATGGGAATTTCTCGAACTTCTATAGACCGTATTCAAAAATCGTCTTGGAATCAAAGCTTATAGCCGCCAAACCGCGAGTACCAAAACAAATACCCAAAAAAGGGGCACAAAAAGGAACGGCAAAACAGATTACGCACGAAAATCCAGAAGAAAAGAAACAAAACCGAACAAGCCCGCGGGACGGCGAAAAAAAAAAAGTTTTCCAAAAGCCAATTTCTTACGCCAGCCAGCAAAAAGAAACGCGAGGATCGTTCGAACCAACTTTTGCTTGGCTTCAATAGTATTGATCATCGCAAGATTCTCTTCACCGATGAAAAAGTTTATCTACTTTTCCAATCGCCAACCTGCAACTCGTCTCAGCATCGATACTCCCACACGTCGTCGTCAATTCCAGCTTGATGGCAGCCTGCTGAGAGCATTTGACCAGTGGGGCAACTGGAAGACCTTCAAAATAATTGAAAACAGAGAAAACAGACCTTCTTGGACGGAATCCAGATAGGCATCGGTGCAGAGTGTGTCCTTGACAAACCCAGCTTTCTTCTTCTCCTCTGCACTCAAGCTCATGCTAGTGAACCCGGCATCGAAGTTTCTTTAAGAAATTCTTCTAGCTTTTGTTTAATTTTATTAGCAAGCTTTGAAAATTATCCCAAGAGGTCGGTTAAGGAGTTTTTCAAGAGATTGCAAAGTGCTTACTTGCAAAACAACTTGATCTTATCGATGTCGCCGCTCGACATCGCTGCCGTTAGATCGAAGGAAGTCGAGGCTGAAAAGAAACTTCATAATCACAATTTGCAATTGTCAATTAATGCGAGTTCGTTGAAAAATCTTCGTTCACACTCTTTTGATTTGGAAAGAATCAAAAAAAAATCCTCAACAATAAACAATGTCAGTCTCCAAATCCTCAACAATAAACAATGTCAGTCTTCAATAAACAATGTCAGTCTCCAAATCCTCAACAATAAACAATGTCAGTCTCCAAATCCTCAACAATAAACAATGTCAGTCTCCTCGAGGAGTTTTCAAGCTTTTTTTGTATTGTATAATGTAAAAATTCGGTTTAAAAGTCAAAAATGAAATTTAAAAAAGCTACTGCAAGAAAAGTAGCCATTGAATTCGTGTGACAAAAGCGAAAATCTCTTACCGTAGCCATAAACGATAAAGCAGGTGAATAGAATCGTTCTCAGAAACATTTGATCCGGAAATTTGGAAGAGAAATCCCAAAACTTTCCACTTTTCCACGTTTAAAACTCGCTTGTTTTTGTTATTTTTGTTATTTTTCCTATTTCTTCGTTCCACTGCAATTTGATGAAAATTTTTTTCTTTGCAAGTGATTGATGATTGAATTTGTTATTTTGAAGATTTTGTTCTGGTTGATTAACCCAAAAATGTAAGTAAATAAAATTTTTATTTAAGAACAAAAAAATAAGAGATAAGAGAAAAGCCAAAAGTAGCTTTTGGTTTTTGGTAACAAATATAGTACAGTACAGTACAAACAAATACATTACTGGACCAGCAATTATCACCTCACGAATTTTTCTTTATCTTTGAAGAGTTATAACTCTGAACTTTTCCATCGTAGACTAGAAGTGTTATAATGATTTTGAAAGCTTAAAACGGGCTCTATAAAATGGTGCGTTCACTTTTCAAAATCATTTTAATTTTTTTTCACATTTCGGGGTCCGTCAAATAGGGTTTGAAAAAACAACATTTTCAGCGCTGTTTTTCTTGTTGATACTGTGCTCTAATCATGTTGAAACCATATTTTTTGGAAAGAGCGTGAAAAATTACCCCTAGAAATCTTAAATACTTCGAGTATTTAATGATGTCTCAAAGTTTTTAAAAAAAACCAGTTGGTTAAGACTTTGAGACATCATTAAATACTCAAATCGAAGATTTCTCGGGGTAATTTTTCACGTTCTTTCCAAAAAATATGGTTTCAAGATGATTAGAGCACGGTATCAACAAGAAAAACAGCGCTGAAAATGTTGAAAATGCTTTTTTAAACCCTATTTGACGGACCCCGAAATGTGAAAAAAATTAAAATAATTTTGAAAAGCGAATGCCCCATTTTATAGAGCCCTTTTTTTTTATAGAGCCCGACTTTTGCACCAATTTTTGATAGGCCGCGCTGTGACTCTCTCGAATGGAGGAAAAGCACATTTACCGGGATGGTTTGGGATGAATCACGTTTCTCAAAACTCCACCATTCTCACCGGATTTAAATGTTATCGAGAATTTATGGGCCTATTTGAAATCGAAATTGCGAGGAAAACGTTTCAATTCTAAAGTCGAGCTATGGTTTTACATCAGAAAAATTTGGAGGACGATTGAACCTGGAATTCTTGATGCATTAATTAGATTGATGCCTACTCGTGTTAAAGAAGTACTTTTGGCAAAAGGAGCGCCAACAAAATATTGATTATAGCTCCTTTTCGTCTTGTGTTAAAAGACTTTTGCACCACGATTTTCAGGGGTGTTTTGACAATTATATTTTTTTCTCGATGAATAAGTTTTGTACAGCGACAGCGTGTGTGTAAATAAATTGTACATATTAGGTTGTCCCATAAAAAATTGCGGTTTTTTTCATTTGATTCGTATTCAGCGACAAATTAACACTTTCTCTTTCTGTTTTTTTTATTATACTGCTTTACAATTCTAGTTTTATGTGCTAAATTTTTTTTTTTAGAAACCAAAAACAGAAAAAGTTGTGATCGATCAAATGGCGCCGTCTCGTGAAGAAATCCATCAACATCTGGATCAACGATATTTGAGGAGGATTTCGGCGGCCAAAGCAGCGAGAGAAATCAATTCTTTTTATGGATCAACAATCGTCAAGGAAAGGACTGCACAATGGTGGTTTCAGAAATTCCGAAAAGGTGACACCCGGCTCACACGAAAGCGAGGAAGTGGTCATCCCAGAAAAGTGAATCGACAGACGTTGAGGCGCCGACTTCGGCAAATCTCGAAGGATCGACTCGGATTTTGGCACAAGACTATTGCGGAAGAATGACAGTATGGCGTTGGCTCAAAAAAACCGGAAGAAAGTGGTTGAAACAGCGGCAAATCCCTTATCAACTGAACAATTCGATCAAGGACCAAAGAGCGCGGTCATGCCGTCAACTACTGAACGAATATCGATGCGGTCGGCTTCCTCTTTCCAATATAGTGACTCATGATCAAACGTGGATATTCTATGATAGTCGAGTGTTGAAACGACAATGGTTGGGAAAAGGTCGTTTGGGAAAAGTGGTGCCAAGACGAAATATTCATGGAAATAAGCGACTTCTGTGTGTCTATTGGTGTTCCTCTGGCATACTTTTTTGGGAGATACTCCAGAAGGGTCAAACTTTTAAAAGTAATGTTTATAGACGCCATATGCAACAAGTTGAGCAGAAAATTCTCCGATTGCTCTATCAGAATGAATGGAATGGCCCCGTTTTTGTGCTGCTTGAAGACAACGCTTCTTCTCACAAATCGAGCAAATCGAAGAATTTTATGGAAAACAATTTGCACTGGAATGTACTTTCACATCTCCCTTATAGCCCGGATATTGCTCCTTCTGATTACTACTTATTTTTGTCGCTAAAGCATTTCCTTCGAGGCAAGCAATTCAACAACCAAGGTGACCTCGAGAACGAATTGGAGGACTACTTTCATTCACGCCAACCCGATTTTTACAAGCGAGGACTTGAAAAGTTACCAAAACGTTGGTTAAATGTCTACAATAATCATGGAAAATATATCGTATGATCTACGTTGTTACTTTTTATTTTTTGTTGAAAAAAGAAATTTCTGAAAAACCGCAATTTTTTATGGGACAACCTAATATATTTGTGTAACTAAAATTATTAATGGCTTAAAGAGCGCCATGAACTTTATCAAAGAAAATCGATGTAACTTTTTAGAAAATTAAGTGTTAAGAGACTTTTGCACATGACACATGACACTGTATAATCTACATAAGAAATCTACAATAGCTAAACTGCAATCATTTCTAGGTTAACCATCGCCGTCTTAACCTTCTCTCAAAAAGCTCCGAGCCTCTCCAAAGAATAGAGGAATGGAAAGAATGGAATTCTGTTCGCGAAGGAATGGAATTCTCAATCACTCTTCAACCATACGATTTCATGAAAGAAATGAAAAAACAACGCCAAAAATTACCTCATCACAAGCCCTATCTTGAACAATAATCTTTTGATTTGTTGATCTTTTTATGTCGCTCAATGTGATAGTTTTGTGTAGATATTTTCTCATTTTTCCGGCTTCTCCCCCAGGTGGTCCAAGGGATTTCGTGGGATTATTTTGACGCATATGAGTGCACATTGTGTATGCAAAATTTTAAAGGGTAATCCAAGAGAAGAATTCAAATATTCAAAGAGGCAATTTGTTTGATGAAAACCTCATTATTTCTATAAATGAGTGCCGAGGAAATTCCCTCTCTCAGAAAACTTTCCTCTTTTCCCTCAACATTTCCTTTTCTTTTCTCTCCCTATATTCTGGACTCAGTTCTGCCATTTCCACTTAATTAAAGGAGCCAATAGGATCGGGGAAAAGAAGGAAAAGGAAAAGCAATATACATATGGCAAAAGTAGAAATATATTCTCTCCAAAACAGGAAATAAGAGGATACGACAAATCCAGTAATCGACTCGAGGCTGATATTAGTTGACTTCACGTTGCGGTTGAGTTTCTTTTCATTGATTTCTTTCTAGTGGCTTAAATAGGTTCTTGCTTGCTTGCTTGTTTTCATTGCTTAGGCTCAGGCTTAGGCTTAGGCCCAGACTTAGGCTTAGGCTTAGGCTCGGCTTAGGCTTAGGCTTAGGCTTAGCATTTCAGCAAAGCAATTAGGCCAGGAAACTTTTAAAGTACTTAACTTTTCATTGTTTTCATTGCAAATCTTGCTTGTTTTCATTTAAAAGCAGAACTTCTAAAGCCAAGTTTGCTTTACTTAAGACCAATGTTGAATCTTTTAATAATGAGTCTAACTAAATTCTGCTTGATATTTGAATTTTGAATTCGAACTCAAGAATGCAAAGCAATTAGTACTAGAGTTTTCTTGGCTACCATAAATCCACTTTTATCCATAGAATCGTTTGCTTCAAAGCTGATAGTTACCTTTCTATTTTGATAACTTTATTCAGAAAGACTCATTGATTAGCCACGTAGTCTCTAGCTCGATTTCCTCACTTTCTCCATTTACCAATCGAAATCCAAATTCCCAATCCCTATCAGAGCCAGTTTTTATGCTAATTTCTCGGTTTATAGTCATTTCATTTCATTAATCCATCTGATCCCCGATTCAAAACAGGATTTTAACACTAAACTGTCAATTCATTGTTTAGATTTTTGATATAAAGTATATGAATCACCTGGTTTCTCTATAACCTTAAACCCGATGAACTTTCGCAAGAGACCAGTCTTCGTTAACTCCTTAGTTCGTTAAATATTTGAATATCCCAGAGTTCTGCCATTTCCACTTAATTAAAGGAGCCAATAGGATCGGGGAAAAGAAGGAAAAGGAAAGGCAATATACATATGGTAAAAGTAGAAATATTTCCCCTCCAAAACAGGATACGAGGATATGATATACAGTGCATGAATCACCTGGCTTGTCTATAACCTTTAACCCGATGAACTTTGCTTGTAACTTTGCCAAGAGGCCAGTCTTCGTTAACTCCTTAGTCCGTTAAAAACTTGAATATCCCAGCTTGCTTTTTTCATTTTTTTTTCCAATTTTTAGATTAGTTACCATACGGGCTTTAATCTTTCTCTCCGATTTCGGTCACTTCCTGGTTTTTTTTGATGATTTTAACGCTATTTCTCTCCGATTATTCTAGATGATGATTTTTCTGTCTTATTTTTTAATAAATTTTTTCTCGGTTAGTGCTTAGAATGAGAATTTGAACAAAATACTTTTAAAAAGTAATCAAAAATCTTTGGAGAAATCATCAAAACCTCTATGATATCTGGATGAGATTTGGGAAGATCTTTGTTCATGTTTTAAAAGGATTTCAACTCTTTGAGCTGATTAGATACGGAATTCGAAAAAATTGTGATTTTCTATTTCTAGATATGTTCAGCTCTAGAATACAATTGGTTTCTGAGCGTTGAATGATTGAAAAACAATGTGCTATCCTCGATAATCTACTCTTGATAAAGTACATAACGATTCCAGCTACAGTATCGATTTT